AAAAAAAAAGTTATGGGTACATTTTAGCAGCTATATTCATCCCGGCTTCAGCAGTGGACACGAACAAAAGGAAGCAATGTTTCTAAATAAAGATGTAGATATGTAGGTATTACAACCATAAATAGATAGCAGCGGCTAACCTAGTGAGCATGTGTGAGTGCGCGCTGCGCCCCCTCCGCCCGTCCCACTGATCGGGGAAACAATTTGTAGCGAAAGGCAAGATGTTTTACAACAAAAAGGAGCGCGCGAAATTTTATAAACAGACCTTTTGGAGTATGGATGTCATGAAAAATCTATTGAATATATCTGTTTACAATAAAATTATTTGCATTTTTGAACAACTAATCTATCCCTGTATGGTAACTGTTTTGCAATTTTCGTTCTTCTTATGGTATTTACTTCCGCCCAAAGATGTGTTAAAACTAGTGTTGAAATTTAGAATTTTCGACGCTTATAACTTTTAAACATACTCTTTTTTACTTTTTGTTTCCATACAGGGCTAGATAATGATGAGACAAATTGAAATCATTTTTTATTTTGAACGTACACCATCAAACAGTGAAGTAATCGCGAGACTACGTTTGTATGGAAGATTGAGCGACTAATGTACCCTTAAGTGATGAAGAGGAGGGCTTAACGCCCTATTAAATTACGTATATTAGAGGACATTATATGTCCTAGAAATATGTCTTTTGTACTATTTAGGTTTCTTTCTTTACTTACAATTTCGCTACACAGTAAGAGTGGTACGAGTGCCCGTTACACCTGTTTTTCAAGAGTTCGCCAATATTTTGTTGTAAACGTTTCTAAAAGTTGTTTACAAGTTGACATGTATTTCATGCTACGCTCACTCAATACACTTCGGGTGATCAAGGTTAAAATGTGATGCACCCGCACGCACGTAAGCCATTTTAAGCCAATATAGTGTTAGAGCCAATACTCCAATGCGTGTATCGACAATGAACAAGATGTATTTGATGTAAATCTTGCGTCTAATCCTCAACCCACAACAAGTTTGTCAGGATCATAGGTGTTCTAATATCGTGTGTCTGTAATAATTCTTCTCGTCAAAATCTAGTGGCCAAGGATTTCTTCCATTATAGAGAACATTTTACTTAATCGGCACTCTTAGCATTGAGCCGCTTGGAGAATCTCAGAAAAATATATTTCACACTTTAAACGTTACTTCTCATCTTCGGCCTTGATATCTCACATCAGATGCGAACGATATGATAATGGTTAGAGAAATGCGGGGTACAATGAATCACTTTTTAAAAAGACGAAATAAGCAGTATATAGATGATTAATTACAATTTTACAGGTTGATTGGTAGCATGAGATGTTGATCAAAAAGTTTTTTTTTATAAGATTGGGTGACAAACGAGCACACAGTCCACCTGATGGTAAGTGGATGCTGTGGCCCATAAACATCTACATCTATCCTAGATTACAAATCAAAATGTAGATGCGTTGTCACCCCTGAGGACTAAGATAAAGGGTATCTGGTTCTCTGCACTCACCATGCGAAACACAGCAACATTAAGCTAATATTTCACGCTGGTATTCTTTGAGAGCGTGGTCCTTCCCCGGTCGATCATCTCAAATTTGGCAGAATTACCGAAAATCTTTAGATACTAAGGTTTTTTTAATTTTATTGTCATAAGAACACAAAATTGGTGACATAATGTATCAAACAATCAACTTAATACAGTGGATCGCAGTCCACTGTGCCTTATCGAGAAGCGGTCCACGGTTGCCCAACACACCATATTTTAAAATCTGTAATTAACATAACCTGTAAAAGTTGAAGTCTTTATTAAGGAAGTTTTTTAGACAGTTTTATACGTAGCATCATAACATCTAACCAATCTAAATAAGAAAAATATACATTTGGTAGTTACGGATAGCGCGATGGCTTCAACGCATCCATCAATAATTACAGCGTGACTACTGGTGCGAGGGAGACGTAAGGATTAGATGGCACGATACATCTATGTTTTATGTGTGCAAGTTAACAGAGTACGAGTTATACATTTCGATCCACAGTATACCACGGTGTAGTGTACCCCACCTTCCTCTACATTTTGATATAACCCATAGTCGCTTCTTATGACACCTAGGGGCCCAATGGGGTTATACACTTATTAATGGGATTATATTTTTTCTAAAACAAAAAGTTTTAAGTGTAAACTTCTGTAGCGCATATCGATTTAAAAGGCTATTCGGTTATTACGATAATCGTAGATAACCTATTTAAGAGTTTAGCTAGTATTATCAACTTTTTTATTGTTTTACATAGATCGAAGGTCAAAGACATGACGCGAAATAAAAGTAAGTTTAAGTTTTTAACAGTAAGATTTATGTAACATCACAGATAAGCTATATTATTTATACGCGCACGATAAGAATACTATGTATGTTAAACCAATATTTCTATAGCTTGCTTAGAAATTGCTCGTGCATAAATTTCAAGTGTGTATTAGTTGTATTATACGTCGTATATGCATTTAAAAATAAAAATAAATAGGTATATATTAAATGAATTTTCAATTTCATTTAAATTTTGTTTAATTTTTAAATGTGACCGCATTTTATAACATATTCCATAAAATTTATTATAATCTTAATATGACGCGCAGTAAACCCAAACCTACTCGTATCCTGCGCGTATAGTAATGCACCGTTATAAATATAGGCGCGTTAAAATAATAGGAGAACAATCGAAGACAATAACAATAATATTTTTGCTTCACTATTCCAGGTAAATAGTATGAAAAACTATCTTCTCCACAAAAAAGTATAGTTTAAGAAATACCTTATTATTAAAAAAAATTAAAATGCCAAAAAATGATTGATATTTTGTTCCACAGTTTTTACGTAGTAATTTATATTTAGTTTAATTCAATGTTATGTAAATAAAACTGTTACTTTGTTGAAATAAATTAAAAAATATAGTATCTTTATAAATATAGAAAACAAAGTTTATATAAATGTAAATGTGAACACACTGGCATTGTAACATGTGATGAAGTTTTAACTGACTAGTTTCGACCTAGCGACAAAACAAATATTGTTTGAATTATTCAAAATATTATCTGTACGACACAAAAATGTTTCTACATATGTTCGTTACAGACTTTGAAAACATCCAACCGATTTTGATAAGGTTTTTTGCCTGTTTGAATTTTTTTTAAACGTTACCCCTACACTAAGATTTTCTCTTGTATTGTGGGGGCAGTTTACAAACATAAATTGCACAAGGACGAACATCCAGACCCGGAACAACTACTTGTAGGCCATACAAATACTTGTTCCGTGCGGGATTCAAAACCGCGACCCCCAGCGCAGCCACTCATTGCTAAGCCACTGTGCCACGGAGTCGTCAAATGGGTCCCTAGAATGATTTACACATTCACATTTGGCCCGGCAGGTGGCGCTTTTGTCGAGATCCAGAAATCACGCGTGCGAAGTCGGGACGGATACATACGATACGGCCAAAATTATACACGCAAAGATAAAGGCAGTCACTTCTATTTATCTAAGCAATTCCAGTACAACGTTAGTGCGTTATCAGAATATAAAAAAAATACTCGACGATAAACTACTATCAGATCGGAACCACAGTGAAAGAAAAAATACTTCTATATACAAAATATCAACCTATTCGGTTATCTATTAACCTTCAAGATATTCATATTGTGCTTTACATATTAAAAATAAACTAGTGAAGCTTTAGCAGTTTTGTCAGACAGTGAAATAATTCTTAATACATCCAGTTAAAAAATAATCAATATTTTGATATAGGTACTTCGATACTAAGTGTTGCGATCCATCCATATGTTTATACATAATGTTATATCTCATAAAAATGGTAATTTTATACTATCGCGGTCCACTCGTTTTTTGGCTCTAGAAAATCGAAAAATCACCCGATTTTGATGATTTTTTTAATTTTCGTTTTTACGGTTAATTTATGAAAAAATTACAGGAATTAAAAAATTTTAACTTATATTGGTAAAAAATTATCAACAATTATTGTTGATAATTTATTTACAAATAATCATATGAAGTTATTTTTTTTTTCTAATATAAAAAAATATAAAAAAATATTCATAATCTACACAAAAAACGAACATTTAAAAAATCATTGAAAAATATTTGTTTATAATTTTTTTTATTATGGTGTTTTATTAAGTGTAAGTTCGAACGAAGCGAGCTCGGGACTTAGGGCATCCCGACTTGGACAGGTTAGGTTAGAAGAAGATGGCGGAGTCGAGTGAGCGAGCGAAGCGAGCGAGAAAAATAAAATAGATAGATACGGGAGAGAGTTGGGGGAAGGAAGGACCATGCCACTCAACGTAGCGCAGTCTAGGGAAGGCGGGGTCTATTCGCTCGCTTCGCTCGCTCACTCGAACCGCCATCTCCATCTAACCTAACCTGTCTGAGTCGGGATGCCTTAAGTCCCGAGCTCGCTTCGTCCGACCTTACACTCAATAAAACACCAAAATATTAACTTTTATAATTATTTAGATTTTCTAGGGCGTTTATGATAACATTTAGTCAGAAAACCATATAAATACTTTAAGTGAGATAAAAATTAATAAACAAACATTTTTCAATGTTTTTTTAAATGTTCGTTTTTTTGTGTAGATTAACAAAAAAATTATTAACTTTGTTTAATGCTTTGCAAAAAAAGTTATGAACGATTATATTCAAAGAAGTGTGTTTATGATCACATTTAAAGTCATAAAACTATATGAAATCTTCAGGTGAGATATTTTCCAAATATTTTTTCTTAAATCCGCCATAAAAACGAAGATTTTAAAAAAATCATCAAAATCGGATGATTTTTCGATTTTCTAAAGCCGAAAACCGAGGGGAACGCGAAACTATAAAATTATCGTAAAAAAAAATTACAAAATATTTGAACTACACGATTTGCTGACCGCTTTCTTCATTTTTCAAGGAAATTAATTGTAGCGTTAATGTTAACTCTAATGTTACTCCTCACCCGAACTGCTGTCGGATGAAATTTCGATTATAAGGAAGGGGTCTTCGATATCCTGTATAGTAGCTGTATAATTATCGCCTAATCCTTCTAGCAACTGTGCTACATTCTCAGTGGGTTCCTTCTTTATTATAACTTCATTATTATTTAAATTATTGGATTCTGTTGAATTTGTTGGAGTCTCAAAATAACCGTCTATTGTTGTTTTTGAATTATCTTCTTCTGGTGCTTTTAAGTTACTTTCAACCGTTGTATTATCATTTAAATCTATCGATTCATTTTCACTGTCGAAGGTAGTGTCAGTATCGCTACTATTGTTTCTATCCAAAATTTCATTTGGCTCTTCAACATATTCATTACTTTGCACTGCAGGCAAGTACTGCATCATCGAAAAACTGAAAAAGAAAAATCCTTTTTAATTATTATTTATTACATCCCAGCGGTCTACAGTTAGATCGCAATGTATTAAAATCAAACAATAAAAATAGAATGGTTCCTACGTGAGATGATGTATTATGTGTTACTAGCTGTTACCCGCGACTTCGCCCGTATGGTCACTGGGAAATGAACTATACATTGCTTTTTGAATTGAAAGAAAACTGAGTTTTATAGATTTTTCAGAGATGCAGCCATTAAAAGGAAACTGAGCAAAATTGATTCGTCAGCCTATTTAAATGTTTTGAAACACAGCGTATAGGAAAGCATGAAAATAGCCTATTTATTCCAAATGGAAATGGGATATTTTTTTAATTAAAGGAAACTGAGCATAATTATCCATCAGCGATGCAGACTTTTGAAAAGAAACTGAGCTAAATTGATTCGTCAGAGATGCAGTTTTCTGAATTGAAAGGGAACTGAGCCAAATAAAAGATCCGTCAGAGATGCAGCTCTTTGAGTTGAAAGGAAACTGAGCTTAATAGGTCCGTCAGCGGTGCAGGATTTGGAATTGGAAAGAAACTGAACTAAATAGGAAATTTTGAATTGAAAGGGAAGATTTGTGGGAATTCTGATTAATTGATTGTGGGAATTTTGGAAAAAAAAACTAACTGAACACTATTTTAAGACGCTACTGTACACAATGTTATATGTTTTTCCATTCGGGGAAAGAATGTGGAGATTCTGGGCATTTGACACACGTGAACATGCTACATACAGCTGACCATGAGAGAAGCACGGTTTTTCTAAGTTGACCCCCGCTACCTGTAACGTTTGCCCTTGCGCTTTATTAATTGTCATTGCAAAACTGAGCTTAATAGGGAACTGCAACCTTTTGAATTGAAAAGGAAGATCTGTGGGAATTATAGGGATCCGTGGTATAATAACATTTTCACCTTTTCCTACGCCTGTCAAAATTGTAGCACCGAATATGTTCCGTCCAAGATGTGTCACACGCAGCCTTGTCCCGTTACATAACCGAGGAGCATCTAAATTTCACATTAGCTTCACTGGGACGCCTAATTTTAATTGAAGCTTATGTGAGGGCACACCTGACAACTCTAGAGAATTTAGAAACTCTACGGGATATGAAGTGCTCTGTTCTGTGTCCATAACTGTGTCTACTGACAAATACTCTGTTATTTCTCCTGCTACTTCGCTTAATATATCTGAATTTATTTTGTTAACGCTCTCATTTTTTGGTGCAAGAATCGCCCTTTCACATAACCATTTGTCTTCATGCATGTTGTTCGTTAAATCTGAATAAACGCTCGCAATTAATTCGGAATGACTGTACTAAATTACAAAAACCTCTCGTCAATTTAACGCAGCCCTCAGCATCCGTTTCCAACCGCCCATCGCCAATTTTTAATAGTGCGTCACCATAGTTTCCAGCATTGATATCATTATACAAATGCACTCTCATATTCGTAGTTAAACGGAATTTTGTCACCTTGTTCCATAAAATAGACGACTTGAGGCATGCTTTAATTTAATTTGCAGGTGTGCCCTTTTGAATGACGGCACATCCTCACTATTTTCATTTAAAAAAAAAAAAAAAAAAAAAAAGGTAAAGTTTGGCGAAAGTCACCAGGCAGTAAAACCACCATTCCTCCCATTACATCGTTATTGCTGCGCAAATGCTGGAGCGTTCGATTTAGTGCTTCTACAGCTTTTTTATGCGACATTGTACTTTCGTCCTACACTAAAAGTTTGCATTGTCGTAGCATTATACCTCGTGCACTATTTTTGCTAAAGTTGCAGATCGGCGATTCTTCCTGGGCTAGATTAAGAGGGAGTTTTAAAACAGAATGTGCAGTGCGGCCCCCGCTTAGTAGCGTGGCGGCTATACCGGAGGAATTACGGCCACAGCAATGTTTTTATCTTTCCGTACTTGCGCTAATAATAAATTTAACAAAAATGTTTTCCCAGTTCCTCCAGGGCATCTAAAAAGAAAAGTACACCATTTCCAGATTCAATTTGTCCTAATACTTTGTCAAAAACTCGTTTTTGTTCGGGAAGCAAGCGGGGTTCAAATTCGGCTACTTGCCGCTGCAAAGCTGGTATATCGTAGTTTGTTTCACGTAGAATTTCCTGTATGTTGTGTGTGCTGTAACCTTCGCAAAATATCTTCCGCCATGTACTCTTTATATCTGTCCCACAATTCGTGTGCATATAGCCCGCAAGATGATATGAAAGTTGCGTAAAGATCCCTAATTTTGGCTGGTGACTGGCACTGCACAGCTTCCTCCACGGTTTCATCCCAGTGATTATCGTTTTCTAAAAGATGCAGAGCTTCACATGCTTCTCTATAAGTTGCGCATTCCTGACCGTTGACAGTTTTAAGGTCTTTATATCCTGTAGGACCCCGAACATGGTGCAGCAGCAATCGTAAACAGAAACATTCAAAATTAGTTACATGGACGGTATACACACGACCAAGGTCATCTGATGACTTTACACCGGGCCAATTTGCAACAGGCGCGCCTTGAATACGGCGTTTCTACTCCTTCCTAGATGTTTTCCAAGTATAATAGCGGGGAACTTCAGAATATAACAACATTTTGCAAAGGGGTCGGTTTAAAAAGGTTGAAAGAAGGCTGTTAGTGTAGTTTTTGGCGGTGATGCAATTCTTTCTTGGAAATTTCTTTCGGTGAAATATACACGCTCTCCATTTTCTAAGTGCACAGCAAGGTGAGTAACTGTTGGGTGCCTTTCGTGTAAAGGGAAGCCAAGGAGACGCCACGCTGCCTCGTTACTGCTAATATAACGTCCTGCTTGAAAGGTCTGTATTTCATTAACGGGATTTGCCTCACCTTCACTCCTGAGATTAAATATTGCTTGGTCGCTTTTTTTATTAATGTACTTACAGATATACTTGATTGCGCGGACAGAGCTACATGCTTCTACATTAATGTGGGGAATAAACATTTTACATAGAATGGGCGAATACGGGACAATCCAGCTGTTATCTAAGGTTTCGAATGCTCCAGAGCGAGATTTGATTGTAACTTTCCTGCCACCTTCTTCGGGAGCTCTGCGTCTGTATAAAGGGTAGCCATTGTCATTGTGCACCGTTTCTTGTAATGCTGTTTAGGGAATTTCTTTGTACATTTTCCTTCATTCATACATGGCGATATTGAATTTCGTGCTCCACATGGACCGTAAATCACATTTCGGACGATGGTATCATACAATTCTTTATCTTGCTCAGGATCCGGAATCTCGGCGCTTATTATATCGTCTATTTGGCTGGGCCGCAACTTCTCTTTAAGCCATATTAGAATGTGGGCAATACTGTAATCCTCTTTTTTGCCATTGAATTGAATACATGAAACACTGCACCTCTCCGAAAATTTTCCCTTTGTTAATTACATACATTAATTTTTGTACTTTTAATCTAAATACTCTAGCAACTAAATCGTGTCTATCAGTACTTTTTTGGCCCGGCATTAGCTCCTCGGTTAATTCTTTCCATGTGGCATTGCAAGTAAAAGTAACAAAAAGATCAGGTCTTCCGTAAGTTCGTACATAGGCGAATGCGTCTTGTATGTACTCATGTAGGTAGCGGGGACTGTTAACGAATGATGAGGGCAGAATTACCATTTTACCTAAACCTCTGGGGTTTACATTGGCGTCGCTAGAAACTGCATCTTGTAAATGTATATAATTCTCAACTCGCAGCTTTTTTTTATTTAAAGATATATAACGGAGACGTTCACTTTCTACCTTCACATACATGTCTACCAAAAATTGATGAAATAATTGTCTACACCGGACTAAGAGGTTAAAATCATTTTCTCGCAACATCATATGATACGCATAAAAATTCATACATAATACGAGTACTTTTTTGTTCGGAGTAGGCTCCTTTGTGTCCTTTGCAATAAATCAATGGGTATTGCAGAGCGTCATAAAACTTGTGTGTATCGGATACCCGTTGCAACGTATCATCACGTGCTCGCAAGACAATGTCTCGTGAAGAAAATTGATCACCACTAATTACGGCTGCTATTTCGTGTATCAAAGGTGCATTGTAGCGCCTTTCATGCTCTCCTCGAGGGGTCCGATCTGCGTGAATGACTTTATAATCCTCTTCAGGTAGGTTTTCTAAAGCAGTTTTAAATGTTTTGACTAAAATGTTACGTTCATGCAAGAATCTTTGAATTTTGAACACTGTGTCTCTCTCAACTCCCTGGATAAATTGGCAGCGACGGTCTACCTCAATTTCTTCGCCACCCAGAAAATATACTTGTAAAAATTTATGCGTTCGTTTTCAGCTGGACAGAGCCAAAACATGAAAGGAAAAAGGAATGGAACAAGAAATTACTGCCCACCCGATAATGGAAATGGTCTAGAGAATGATGTTCGTTTTCAGCTGGAAAAGAGAACCTATTCTATGATAAATTTGCCCTTGCACCGTAAATGTAGGCGAAAATCCCGGCATTATTATTTCCAGGTCAACTCCGAAGGACGTCATTTGAAAGCATGAGTTATATTTCCGGATCCTGTTTAAAAAGGGCTGTGACTCATTAGCATCATATAAAAAGAGAGTTTTCAAAGGTTCTTCTGGTTCCCCAAGTAACGGAAGAGACACTTTGCCATTGGAACAACACATGCCTGCGGTCTCATCTTTCCATTTTAAAGCGCTGCAAAATCGACACGCCTTGTCCATCAGTCCGATAAAAACTAACCTGTGACTTTTATAATCAATCAACGGATCATAATTGAATGCTGCGTCATTAAAAACCGACCAATTGTTTCTTTGTAAATTTTGTCAACGTTCAGCTTGGAGCTGTGCATTTGCATCTCTTCGCGCCTGTGTCTGTTCTGGTGTTTCAGATGCCCTTATAGTAGATTGACGTTCAGCTTGCTCAATGAGTCTGTGTTGAGTTTCATTAGGTGTTTCGGCGGTTCTTAAGGCGGCCTGACGTTCCGCTTGTTCGAATAGTCTTTCAGG